CCGAGTGACCTTTCTTCATGCAGTAGAAACATTTGATTACAGAGTATGATTTCCTATTTGTGTTTGTTTTCCTGGATCTAGATTTAAATCCTATTCCAGATTTGTCAAAAATCAATTTTTGAGACCCAAGTAAAACATCAAGATTGGCTTGCCCTTGTGTGAATCTTGAAACAGTTTGAGATAAAAATTCAATCTTCTTTTGTAATTCTGAACAGTTATTACATGGTTTATTACAAGCACAATCAGAATTAGCATGAATTAATTTCAAGAAATCACAATCATTTTCATCTTCAAGAATTCTTTTTTCCAGAGAATCAACTTTATTTACTAGCCAGTTATTTAGCCCTTTTAACCTATCATTTTCTTTTTGAAGTTTCTTAGCCTCTTCATGCATTTCATTAAATGCTTCTTGCAATGCATCATAATTCACTAAATTTGAAGAGGAACTAGAACTTACATTGCTGGATTGTGGATTTTGACTTGCCATTAGACATAGGTTGACTTCTTCATTATCAGAATTATCTGTTGATGAAGTGTCATTGTCATCCCAAGCTATATAGGCTCTTCTTTTGGCTTTCTCTTCTTTCTTGTCACTTTGTTTGTTTCTTTCTGGGCATTCCATCCTGACATGGCCCTGCTTGCCACAGCCATAACATTTAAAGTTAGAAGAATCAGTTCTTTTCTCATACCTCTTATGTCTTTCCTTGTCTTGGATCTTTTTCTTGAGAAACTTGTTGAATTTCCTAACAAGCAGTCCAAGGTTCTCACTTTCTTCCTCTGATTCTTGATTTTCTTCAACTTTAAGTGCTATACTTCTGTTTTTCTTCTCAGAGACTTCTTGTTCATTAAATCTTGTGATTTCCATTTCATGTTCTCTAAGTTTTCCAAACAGAGAAGCTGTTGTCATAGCGGACAGATCTTTTGATTCTGAAATTGCTGTGACTTTTGGCTGCCAAGACCTGTCAAGACATTTCAAAACTTTAATATTCAGTTCTTCTTTATCAAATGTCTTACCTAGGCCCATTAGATGGTTAATGATGTGAGTGAATCGTTTCTGCACATCTGCAATGCTTTCACCAGTCTGCATCTTGAACAGCTCATATTCTCTTATTAGAGTATGCTTTCTGGCTCTTTTTACATCTGTTGTCCCTTCATGGGTGACCTCAAGAACATCCCACATCTCTTTGGCAGATTTGCACTGGGATACCCTGAAAAATTCATCCATGTTAAGTGCAGAAGTAATTATATTTTTTGCAGTGCAATCACTTTGAACTTTCTTCTTCTCTTCATCATTTAAGCTGGACCATTCTTTCTCTGTAATTAAAGGACCATTAGAAATAACATCCCAAACATTTCTATCAATGGATTCAATAAAGATTTTCATCCTAATTTTCCAAAAAGGATAATCTGTTCCACAGAATAGTGGAGGTCTGTTAATAGAAGCCCCCTCAGAAAATGGTAATCTGTTTTCAGCCATGGATCGAAGAAACTTGAATAACTTTCAAGCACCTCGCTCTGATGCCAATTGTTAGAAAAGTAGTTTTAGATCAAGAGGGGGGGTGAATTGATCTTTGAAAGTTTTTCGCAAATCACAGATTATCTAATTCGAAAATTAAGTTTACTAATCTATTCTTGAATCGCAAAGCAATCAATCAAAATAAGCGCAGCAACTGAATTTAAAGGAGAGAAAGGTTAAGAAAGATATCACCGGTATTTTATACTGGTTCACCCAATACCAGGGCTACGTCCAGTCTCCAGCCAAATTCCAGCTGGGTTCCACTAGATTAAATGTTTTACAGATTCAACAATCTTACACCTAATCTATCACAAGAACCAAATTCCAGTTCCTGCACTTAACCTCTCCACCAAGAACCAAATTCCAGCTCTTGATAACCTCTACAACCAAATTCCAGCTGCAGAGAAACCAGTGCCCAAATTCCAGGCACCAACACCTAACCTCTCACCAAGAACCAAATTCCAGTTCTTGATAACCTCTACAACCAAATTCCAGCTGCAGAGAAACCAGTGCCCAAATTCCAGGCACCAACACCTAACTTCTCACCAAGAACCAAATTCCAGTTCTTGATAACCTCTACAACCAAATTCCAGCTGCAGAGAAACCAGTGCCCAAATTCCAGGCACCACACAGTACAAAAGAATGAAAAAGAATTGACAAAGAAGAAACTAGAAAGCTCAAACCAGTTTATCCAAATCTGCAGAGAGTTTCTTCTTCAAAAGAATGCAAGTTGCCTCAAGAAATACTTTCAAAAGAACTTCTAAAAAATTGTTGCGAATCTTTCTTAAAAAAGTGCTAAAGTTTGCTTGAATGATTACTTAAGGATGTGTAAAAACTGATATTCAATGTATGTTTAAAAAGTTCAAGCCAAACTGTTTTTATAGCATATTTTCAAAACTGCTGCATTAATTAATCTGTTGAAAGTTTGTTTTAATCTGTTGAAATAGCCGTTTCAATCTGTTAAAAGTCCTTTCAATCCATTAATACGTTCTTGATTCTTTAACAGATTTGTTTTAGCTGATACGACAACGTTTATATAAGTTAAAACACTTTACAAAAAATCTTCTAAGTTAATTCAATCGATTCTTTCGCGTTTTAATCGATTGAAATACTGCAAACTTTCTTATAAAACTTTTCAAGTTATTTTAACTGATAAATCATAGGTTTTAATCGATTAAAACTCTGTACAAAATTTTTCCAAGTTGTTTTAATCGGTTGAAATGTGTTTTAATCGGTCATAATTCAATTCTGATCGATCATAACAAACTCTGATCGGTCATAACTGCATTCTGATCGATCATTCTGACCCTTTAAGTGATTTTAATCGATTGAAAAAATTATGATCGCTCATAATTCAAATCTGATCGATCACATTTGATTCTGATCGGTCATATTTGTATTTTGATCGATCATAATGAGTTTTAAATGGTTTTAATCGATTAAAATCAAGTTGTATCGATTAAAATACTGTAAAAACACTTCTTTGAACATTCTAAGTGATTTTAATCGATTCTTTCAAAACTATATCAGTTAAAAACATTATTAAGAAGGGTTTTGTCAAAATGCTTTGTTTTTAATTGTTTAAAACGATTTTAGAGGCATTTTGCAAAATCATTTAAGTGAAGAAACTTCATGCAGCAGAAAAGATAAAATGGTTTTACCTAAACATTCTGTTAGACACACTAATCCTCTAACTCTTTTATCTGAGTGACTTGTTGACCGCTGCAAAGTTGACTTTTGACTTCATCTTTGACTTCATCAAATCAATGAGATCTTTGCCAAAGTATTTCACTAAGATCTTCATCACTTTTCACAGTAAACCACAATTTTTCTTATTTCATAGAATTTTCCTGGCGTTCTCAGTGCATGTACATGACCACAACATCTTCCACGATCAATTTAATAATAATCACACAGTTTGCAGTAAACCAAAATAGTTGGTATAACGTGATCTAATTTGAATTGGAAAATCAAAAGTAAAAGCGAACAAGTAGATATTAAATCGAGGGAGGTTTCTTGCATGACTTAAATGATTTTCTTTTGAAAATGGATTGGAATGGGACCTCCATGGGGCGGTAGTAAAATAATATTTGTTTTAATATTTGGACACCAAACTCGTCTTTATCAGCTTTAGAAGAGTCCAGAGATAATTTGTTTTAACCCGACAAGTGTAGCGTAGAACATACATATTTAAAATGGAAGTTATGATACAGTTAGATCCTGTCTTATGTTGCCCGTGTGGACGGCATTGCATTTGGTTCCTTCTCCATCTACCACCTGCCTAGGATATTCAAATCTGTTTAGTTTTCCATGGTTTGGGTCAAATTCATTTAATTTTTGTTTGCTTAAACAATGTTATAGTATACGATTACCATGAGAAGAAGAAATGTAGGTCATCGCACTGCATGTAAGGCAAACGGAGGCTGGTCGGCAACTTCGTTTCATGGCTGGGGACACCCAGTGCCACATGACACACCCCACTTCACTTCTTTTATACATGATTATTAAAAATTTAAGATGATATTAAAACATAGTTTAAATTTGTTCCTCGATAAGATAAGTTTGATTTTCTTTTTCCGTCTTTTTAAGTCTTATTCACTCTCTATATTAATTTTGAACATAATAACATCATCACATAATTTATCAATAAAATGACCAATTCAATATCATTAATGCCATAATGTCATGCCAAGACATCACTACAACTAAAATAAAACACTATGATTAAAATCACAGGCATATGTTTATTGAGACTAAAATAAAATCAAAATGATATATTTAATGGGACTACAATATTTTTTTTTATAAAACTAAAAACAAAAACGACAAAAACGAAAGAAAAACGTATTTACAAAATTCTTTTTAGTCTTTACAACTTGTCTTCTAAATTTTTTAATAGTTTCATATTATTTTTGTAAATACGTTTTTCTTTTAATTTTTACAACTTTGTCATCAAATGCTTTTTAATAGTTTTATTTCATTTTAAATTACTGATAAAAACGCATTACATTTTTCACATAAATCCCCTTTCACCTATGTCACAACACCACCCTCACTCTTGTCACGGCATCATACTAGAATTGGAATGTTAATATTGAAATAACAGAAAAACGATGTGTAAAATAAAACTTGAAGAAAATAAGATGTAAATAATTAATAAACATTAATACAGTCAATTCAAATTATTTTAGAAAACAAATACTTATACGGCTGTATTGAATAATAAGATGTAAAGAAATAATTCGTACAGAGGCAAAAGTAACTAAGAAGCAATTTGGAACGATTATAAAATCAAAATAAAATAAAAAATCACAAAAATAGTTTGCTAGAGCCAACATTTACATCTTGCCGCTCCACTAAATTCAACAGAAAAACAACCCTGGGAAAACATTTCGCAGATAAATTTTAAAGCTATTTTAGAAATAATATGGTGAATATGCACATGGAGTAGATTGCTGTACATGTGTTGATGCACTCCACTCCATCAAAACATGGAGTCTAGGTAATAATTATAACGTTTTCTGACAAACTCTAACAAACTACCATAGGTTCGGTCAGCAATGCCCACAAATAGAGCTTCTGTGTCTGGGCTAAAGGATATACCAGCAATCTCGCCAAATAGATCTATCTCCTGACCTTGTATATAGCCAGAATGCGAGTCAAAAATATGGACGAAGTCTGCGGGCTCAGCCATGGCCAAAAACCGTCCATCAGATGTGAATCTCAATGCTCTAATAGCACCCATTCTTCCATTCAACACAGCTATAGATTGTGAAAGGTTTCTAATGTCCCACAACCGGCAAGTTGTGTCCTGATTCCCAGTGGCCAATATCCGTCCATCCGGGTGCCAAGCTGATGCAAAAGAGTAGTCCAAGTGACCTTTTAAGCTTCCAGTAATCTGGGGGATAAGATATATAAATCAGAAATCACATAAAACTAAGGAAAATAAAACCTAAACAATTGCAAACTGAACTACCTTTCCAGTGTTAGCATCAGCTATCAAGCACTCAGTACTGTCCCCAAGTACAGCTAACAACTTTCCATCCGGACTAACAGAAGTATTCTGTAAAGACCAATATGTAAACAAAACTGCTATCTTCAAAAAATTGTTTTAAGAGATGAAGAGTATAGTAACTGGAATATGATACTCACATTTACAGACCAATCATAGTTGAAACAACCAAGAGAAGCAAAATTCTCTGCATCAAAAACCCGAACTTGGGAATCGTTATTTGCTGTGATGACCCTCAACGACCCACTGCAATGTGAATGTTCAGTTATAAACTTAACCAAAACAAAAATTTAAAACCAAAAAAGGTCTTCATTTAGCTGCTTACGCTGGATTGCGGTAAACATCCACAGCATTGGTTATGGCATTATCATCTGTAGTTATTTTACCACAATAAACAACTCCAGGATGTTTCAAATTCTGGTTCACAAATAATTCACACGCATTAAAAGGTATCTTCATACTGTTGATTATTAGATTGAGTTGAAAGAAATAATGATAAGCCTACCTTGCATATAAGTTCACCATGGAAACCACCTGCCACCATCAGATTTTCCTTAACAGCCATGGTGCTTATTTGCACTCTGGAGACAGGCTGAGCTAAAAATCCAGGACGCTTCTACATAAGAACAGAAAATCACTAGTATCCAATGCATTGAGCACAAAAGAAACAAATCTGATTAACTAAGTGGCTACGTACAAGGCTTGGAACGATTGGTTTGGCTACGTTAAGCACTTCTTTACCCCTTCGTAGTACTGCGGACCAGTGCATTACTGAGTAGTTTTGCATAAGGTATACATCATGCTTCGAAGTTGCCCACAACAAATTTCTCAGCTGCACAGACAACAAATGTATTGATGACATCAATATCAACACCCAACGGGCAAAGCGAAAGAGAAAAATATGGTGATAAACAAGCTACCAATACCACTCTAGACACCAAGTTGTAGAATTGAGAATGACCCTTCAATTGGAAATATTTCTTTCAAATAAAAATTAATCTAATTGTTGGAACTAAGAGCATTAAGGTATACCATGTCGGAGTATTCTAGCATTAAGATGTTGTTAGTATACTGTGACTGTAATCGATTCAAAGTTTGTATGCTTATATTTGCACTTGACATAAACTAGTGTATATAGTATAAGGTCGGGGTTATGCACCATAAATTCTCTTTTCCCTTTCCATTATAATCCCTAAAATGCCAGCACTCTATTGCACTAATTATGCACTCAGAAGTAACTCGAGTGCTGTCTTAACAGAAATAAGAGGAATGTACGTGTGGCAGATGACATTGCACTTAAAGCACAAAATCGTGGATAGTAGAAGAAGCCTTCTATCTTTGCCATTTCCTTTTTTGCAAGAGGTAGAAGTCAAATATAATTGGGTGTTAAAGATGGGCATAATGCATGCCAGTGGCCAAACTACAAACGATAACTCTGATTCCTGGAGGGAGAACTGGGAAGACAGGCAAAATTGCTAAGGTAATAATCATGTGTAAACACCCCAATGATCATTACACAATGAATCGTGTAATTTTATGGAAATCAACAATCACTGACACATGCACGGTTCATGATCATATGTGTTCTTAGCAAATAAAAATTCTTTATGATGATAATTTGGAATTAAAAATTTTCTAAAATACTATCGAATTTATGAAACAATCACAGTGAGATACAGTATGAGTTATCTTCATATTAATGCTAAATGTAAGATTTACATTACTAGTCACGCAATCGATCACAGATGTACGAAAAGGACTTACATACAATAAACAGTAATTAAATAACTACTATTCTGTAGATAAGAAAAACCTAAACATACGCAGCAAAGCATGAAGGATAAAGAGGTAAAAACCTCTCCTGACAAGGAAACGATCAACACTAACTAATAACAGATATGTTAGAGCCCTCTCACATGTGGTCAGATATTTTTCCTATCATACCATATTATAAGGTCCTGCCACGCTGCTCACTTTCCACCTGCTTTAAGAGCTGACATAAAGAGAGAAATAGAGGGCCCAAATGCAAAAACAGGTTAAGCAATAAATTAAATTGCAGAAAAAAAAAATTAAGGCTAAAGCTACTATTTTCACAATTAGATATCAATTACAAAGAAATGCATGCATTCATGCATGTATAAGAGTAAGGGATTGATCATACACAAATAGTAGCAAACAAACATAGAATTATTCAAGGTGCAGAATACACACTACAGATTATTCTGCATCCGTATAAGTACAAAAATTGAAACAAAACTTTCCTACGCTTAAAGTGCTAGTCATACTAGTAGAAATAAGAAAGTTAAATGCATTGTTAAAATATATATATATATATATATATATATATATATATATATAGGGGAGTTCAACACGAAAGCACATCAATCCAGATTTAAAATATTTGGCTTTAGAAGCCAAAACGGATTTTGCTCATTAACGAAAATTAAAGGTAGGCCAACATGTATACAGTAAGCCTCTGTTAGTTCCACTTAGAAACAGAATTGTACACAACACAAACAAACTATTTTAGTTCTGGGAAAAGATGAACAAAGTCGATAATGATCCGCAAGTGTAATGCAAAGTGCTGCATGTGGGTGTAAATTGGTACTATGTGTGCACCATTATTATATTGCAAGTAAGCATATCAATACAGATGGAACAAAATTTGTTGACAGGAAATCATCAAACTTAAAAAGAATGTCAACTCATACCATAGTCTTGATGCATCCATATCCTTAAATTATATGAAACCGTCTTGTCTGAAGAAAAAAATATTTGGCATCTATAGGAGATATTCTCATGAAAATTGTCTTCATGTTGTTTTTTTAATTAGGAAAGTTTAAGAAACAGAGACTGTAAACGGACGGGGAGGGGGAGGATTATTACGAAACAATTTTAGGGGAGGAAAGCATTATTCCGACACATTTTTTCCTAAAGTATGAAGATCCGTGAATAAAATTCCGGATTAAAATTCTTCACGTAGGGCAAATGATGAGAAAACTTCTGAAACATCTTCATAAAAAAAATCTAAAAGAAGATTCATTTCCTTTTCCAAAGAAATCCGGGCATTGCACAAATTTTTCCAGGACAGAGTAATTACTTCCAGAGGAAAAAGGTTTTCACGTGTTAATCTTAGATTTAGCTCAGAATTTATACTTGTAAAATACTAAAACGATCCAATTTAAATCCTTATATAAAGGAAGTCGCCTTTAATTCCATCCATGTGTAAAAGAACAATACAAACTACCTACCCTGCAAAACTAGCATAGCAAAATCATGCATAGCAAAAGTTTTCAGTCAGATAACTCTCAGCCAGGCATGGCTGCGACGCGACCAACAGTATAAAAAAAAATAAAAATTATCTGATGACAATAATCCATAAAAATAAGAAAGAAAATTATTTCAAAAAGTATTGTAAAGACATAAGATGTCAGATCAATGATCCCATGCTTATAATTTATAGTCATTTAATTATATTATAACTATAATATTAAATGTTTAAGGCCAACATATAGCAGTGAAAAAGGCATATAGCAAATGAATGACCCCTATACCCTCGAATTCTGGCATCTACATAATAGCGGCGAAGAACAAAGTCTCTACCTGAAAATGCACAATTGTGGATTTGACAAGCCTGGTATTGAAGAAGAAGTCAAAGAAGGTCTTCCCCTTCTGCACGTTCAAGCACTCCTGTGACCAAAATAATAAAGGTAAAGAAAATCGCTACAAAATGATATTAATTAATTAATTAATTTGGAACCAAAATCAAGAGTAATAAACCTTATGAAGGTGGAGGCGTGAACGAGAGAGGTTCTCGTAATTTTTATATTGCTTCAGTCTCGTCTCGCGATACTTATCCCTGCTGTAATTAAGCCTCTCCCAGGGGATTCCCTGGATATCTTTCCCGTTTCTAGCTTCGGAAGCAGTGGTATCAGTCTTCGCACTACTCTGTTGTAGCCAAAGCAAACCATTTAATGAATGAGATGAAAGGAAGTCGTTAACGGATGAAATGAAATTGATGACCAAAGGAAAAAGGAAGAAGTGATGGAGAAGGAAGTATACCGTTAGGAAATCATCGTCGAAGTCGAAGTCGGAGTCGTGAGAATCGCCACAGGAGGGTTGCTGAGGAACAATGTCGTCGGAATTGTGATCATCTTGGAAGTCAGGTACGTCGTCGTCGTAGTAGTCGCCGACGTACTCGAGATCGTCGTTGTTGAAGTTCTCCATTCTGAGAAGGAATAAGAGGATTAAGACGAGGGAAAGGGCGGAGAGTGAAGAGGCGTGGTGGTGTACTTATAGACAGAGCAGGGGAGCAGAGGGAACGAGTGGGGCCCGCCGTTTGGGTATTAAGAGGAAATGGAATCCGTGGGCTCCATTTAACCGACCGTTACTTTTCTGCCTCGGCCGTTTACTTCTAACTAAACCAACGGTAGAGCCCATGCCTTTCCCCTTGGGTTGGGTTTGGCTTCGGCCCAGGGTTTCATTGGTGTAGTAGAACTCTGATGGCACGACTCTCACCTCAAATTCATTAATGGAAGATGAATAACTTTATACTCCTGGCACACATTCACCTCGGTAATTGCGCATTTAAATTAAATTGATTTCAATTACCAAATGATTAACTATAATTAAATATTTTTACATTTTTTCTAACACTATTGTTTTTTTCCTAAATATCTTATTTTTTTCGCCTTTAGTAACACTTTTAATTACTTGTATAATGAAATTAACCACCATCATATGTATTCCAATAATCTTATAACACGGGTAATCGTATATTTTAGTAACTTTACCATAATATTAATCATGTATGAGATAAAATTAATCATATTTACACATAGAATTAATCACATGTAATGGTCAATAACTTTATAACATTGTTAAATATTTGTCATTCCAACTAACCGCCATCTAATATTTCAATTATGTTATGACTCTTTTAATCAGATATTGAAAATCATATAAATCAATTAAATTTATTTTGATAAGTTATAAAATAAAATTAATAATGTTTCGAAATGAAATTGACTACATGGAAATGGACAGTAATAAAATGTTTTAATAATTACTCATAATTCTTTTGACCGTCATTAAATATTTTTATGACCTTATAACTCTTGTTAAGTTGTTAAATTTAAGATAACAAAAATATTGTTAAATTATATATTATACATTTGTTTTCATAAACATAAGTAATATTGGTAATAATTTTTTATGAGAAGAATTAATTAAAAATAAGTTTGACATAAGTTGGAAAAAATAGAACGGTGGTCCCGTTGAGCCAGCGGTTGGATTGAGAGGGGAAATACATTCCACCAGTAGCAATATGCGGAGTCCACGTGGCTGCTTGAGAGAAAAGTTCAGGAAGCCTGGCGATAGCTGCTTCCCCCACGTGGCTTGTCATCTCCCCAATAGCTAACACCGTCTGTTCAGCGTTACATTATTAACCATGATTAGTTAGGACACGAGTTTCCCGGTCTTTGGCTTAAACCTAAATCATGGTGCAACCTCAGTTTCACCGCCAATTCCATTTGGTATCATGGACTGGGTTCATTGTTTCTCTCGTCTTTTTCCTTCAGTAACCCAACACAGCGAATAGACCAAGATCAAATTTCATTTTCTATAATTTAAATAATAAAGCTTACTGTAAAAAAATTATATTTTAATGTTATTAAACCCTTTTCGAGCTATTTTAAAATATAGTCTCAACTGGCTTACTCAACCTTTTCAGAATAATTTTTTTCATTTAAATGCTTAAATTCATCTAGTATTATTAAGTTTCTTCAGCTTAACTTAAATTATAATTTTCTAAAGGTTAACTATAAATATTAAAATTAAATAACATACATTTTAATTAAATATTCTTTTAATTTACTATTTCTATTTATCGTTTTACTGACTAAAAAAATCAATAATAAAAAGCTAACAACATATTTAATTTTTTTTAATGATACATAAAATATTATTTTTGAATAATTAAAATGTTAAAATAATAGAATATGTGAGAGATATTATAAAGACAATGAAAATGAAATAGAGGAGGCTAGAAGAGTAGCGCACAAAGAAAAAGGTTAAGGTTTCTATCCAATATAAGACAAGACGACATTGAATTGGACTGCAACGGCATCACTGGATTGTCGATTAGTCAAGGAAAGCTTTCTTAAAGAGACGCCACGCATTAAAAAACTCACAGGCTGATATAAATAATTATATATACTCTATATTTACTCGAGTAATAATATCCAAATTATATATTTTCAATATTTTTTTTGTCTTTTTACCATTTAACATTTTAATTTAATTTCAAGATAAAAAAATATACAAATAATTTATTTTGAAAAAATTATTCTACATATCATTCTATATGAATAGATAATTATGTCAAAACTATTTATATGTTCACTGTATAAACTGTTTGTTCTTTATTTTTTATATAAACGTATTGCACAAATAAAATTTTGACACATGACATTGCATTTTTTTGGCAGCATTGGTGGATTGGGATTTGAAATATAATAGAATCAATGAAACTTACACACCTGCACGCAAGCTTGCTTCCCAAGTTAATCCCATGAATAAAAGTTTTTGGATTTTACCCTGATTTATTAGGAGGCCTGTCTGGTTGGATTGGATCACGCTCTTAACAATAATCCAAATCTTATTCTTATGTTTACTTAATATGTATTTCATTAACTTCTAATATTTTTTAAAATATATTTAAAATTTAAATGATTAAATAAATTAAAAGTATTGTATAATTTAGAATAACTTGAAGAAAGTAATTTTTTCATCTCTTTTCACATGGCAGCGACCACCTCCAATTCTTACATTAAGTGGTAACTTTACTTCTACATTTTTAATGCACTCAGTGCCTTTTTTTTCTCCTTTATTGGATTTCTAATACCTTTTCCCATTGCTACATTTACAACATAATTATATCTGGCAAGATTATTATTCTCTCGAAAAAAATTATATTAAATATTCATTAAATATTTATTATGATAATAATATATTAAAAATATTTTTATTAATAAATATTATTTATTATTTAAAAATAATATGAAAGGAATATTATAAATTATGTCATTTAATGATAGAATAAAGATAAAAAAAAAACTCATATATCTTCCAATTTTTCCTATTCGAACTCCAACCAGATTATTCGTGAGGGATTAACTTGAGATATTATTATATTATTTTTTATTTTTACAAAAATATTTCACATCCACTTTTAGACCGAAAATAAATTTCGCTACACTTATATACTTAATCCTCAATTGGGACTGTTTATATTTCTTGTTCACAAGAACAACCATATAATTAAAGTTGGAATTTGTATTTTTTTACGTGTAGGTATATTATTTTCTCTATGAGTTAAAATTATTTGATATATAAATTGATTTTGTAAAATTTTTCTTACACATCTTTGAATTTTTTTTATTTAATTTAAGTATACTACTTTTAACTTTATAAGAAGTTTATTTTTTCTTTACTGAAATTTTTTTTAACAAATAAATCAAATATATATATATATATATATATATATATATATATATATATATATATATATAAACTACATAGTTATGTATTTTTTTTCTGAAAAGTAAAAGATAATTATAATTAAAATTAAAATTATTTTTTTAACTTAAAAAAAACTATGGAACATACGTATCAATCCTGTTTTATTGACATTATAGAAAAAAACATAAAATAAATTTTATACATTTTAGATAAATAGTGGTTATTTTTTATAATTATTCAATATCTTATTTAGAGCATCCACGTTTCTTAAATTAATTGTATTTGTGTATATTATAATGCCACGTATATATAAACACAATTAAATGAAATTCACATTAGGCACTAATTAATCCAATTTTGTGATCTTATAGTTGTTTCCTTAATTATTTGTTTAGATCTGAGTTATATTAGTTCAATTTTATTTATGATAATATGTTTTATTTGATTGTACTTTTTGTTTTTGTTGATCCAATAAGTTATTTTCTCCATAATTTTTTTTTATTTTTTTAAAATATTCGGCATTATTGAATATGAAAAAATAAAATAAAAATTGTCCTTGGATGAGTTGAAGGTCAAATTAACATTATTACCCAAAGCGCTACCATTCAAATAATAATGATGGAGACATGGTTCTGGAATCAGTAGCGTAATTGGACCGACACAACTTGCTTTGGTTAAGTTGTTTACCCATCGATATTGTAAAAAAAATAAAAAATAATAATAATAATTTGAAAACAGTCCTATTCATGATAAAATATGTGGAATGCAGTACTGAGTTTCGTCTTAGAAGCCGCATTTTGCACAGTACCATGCTCAAAGTTAAAAAAAAAAAATTACTAATCAAATGATTCTTTAACCTTTCAAGATTTTTTTTATATAAACCCCAGCTACATCCAATTTTTTTTTTTAAATACTTTTGGTCAATTACTTTGTATTTATCAAAATGGACTATTTTTTTTTAAATTATCAAAATAGACAAATCACGTTTTTGAAATATGGTTTCGCCATGAATAAATTATGTTTAAAAGACGAATAAGATGATATATTTGTAATCGCTATTGAGGATATAAATTTAAAAGACAAAATTTAAATATATTCTGAATGTGAAATATAAAAATTGGATTGTAGTAAATGTAAGAAGAAACAATAAATTAGGCGCAATTACTTTGAATTTTTCACTAAAAAAAGAATATATTATCATCTAATTTTTATGGATAAAAAATATTTCTCTGGATTTAAAATTGAAAAATCCCTTTCGCAATAATCTGATGGGCACAGGGTTGATTGGAATTATGAACACTACATATATATTTTTGAATAAATCATGAACTTCTTTAGTGGATAGTTGATGCACCAACATTGTCAAGCAAGTATCAAATCTCAATATCACTGCTTGATTGGGAAAACCAAAATTATTGGAATAAACCCACGTCGCATAAAAATATTGGGTATATCTTTCTTTTTTACAAATAAAAAAAATGTAATTTGGTTTAATTATATATTACTTTTTAACAACTGACACTTTAGATAATGTGATGAAAAAGACTTTCATTATATAAAGATCTTTCAATTAACCTACCGTGACGTGAGATATATTATACAACTTGGTTAATTAATTATATGTTTGAATGCAATTTATATAAAGTTTTTTCTAGAAGAAAAGAAATAGTTTGTCTATTGTTTGTTGCTAAAAAGATTTTTGAAAAAACTCTTAAAAGAAATATTTTTGTTCTTAAAACTAGTCACTAGTCATCGCAATTGGAGATATTTCATTCCATCAGTTTTATTCAAGTTTGGGACTGATAATTTTGAATAATAGGTTAGTTTTAAGGATGTCATGTCATACGAAACTATCTTAAAACTGTTCTATTGTTTGAATTTTCAAAAAATGATGGTTGAGGCTCCATCATTAGTATAATTTGATTAACTTTCATATTATTTTTTTTATTTCCAAAAGGTTGGGTTCTCACAGTTTGGATTAAGATAAGAACGCGTGTCATTATTTTTAGTCTGAACTTGAGAGGGATAGCAACCTCCTTCTCTTGGTATTTATGTGCTGAAAGTTCTCAAAGCATTAAAATAATTAATAAAAAAAAACACAAAGATAAAATACGTTGAATATCATAAATAAAATAAAATAAAAATGTTATTATTCGAAATACATTTTTAGTTATGTTCATTGGTTGGAAAAGTATTTTTTAAATAATGTTTTCTTATTAATAAAGAACCTTAAATAATTTTTAAAATTATACTGTTTCTACTATTTTTTAAATTAAATTATAATTATAGACACACATCTTATTAAGATAATACGCAGTTAAGAATTTTTCATTATAATTCATCTTATATTGAATGAATTTATTTTTATTGTGTTTTTAAATCTATTTATTTTAATAAAATAAACATATTATATTATTTTTGTTTTCTATCAAGCAGATTTTATTTACTTCCTAAATAAGTAATTATTATAAAAATTATTTGTTTTATAACTAAATTAACCATTATTCCATATCAATTGAGTAAAAGAACCTTTTTTTCCATTGACGAGATAGCAATTGGATATAATAAGAATGTTTGAAATATATGAAGAAAAAATATTTCAATGGCATACATATATATATATATATATATATAATATGACTTCAATTCAAAATAAATATCTAAAAATAATTTTTATATGATTTTATTACGTTTTTATATGATTTTAAATAAAATTCTTATTCTTCTCATTTTTTTTTAATTAGTCTACTCTTATCTTACTTTTTTTACCTCTTTCCTTTTCATATCTTTTAAACTCTAAAAAATAGTAGTTTCTTTATATAAACTTGAAAACTAGTGTTTGGCCCGCTTTCTCTTCTATTTGAGTTTTCATTGGTAGCGAGT